CTAATGAGTAGCATGTTTCTATTCGAGAAAATAAGAACTTGCGTGTTTGCGTTTCGGGTTTTGTAAAGCATGTGGACTTTGCCGCAGCTCATCGTGCACAAAATACAGCTTCGATAACACTGACGGGGGAAGCCTAACCATTCCATGACAAGTCTTAGAGTTTGAATTTGAAATGGATTGAGATCAGCTGCCACCGAGCGAAAGTGTCGGCGTTTTCTTGAGGGTCCTGGATGCGTGGTTGTTAGGGTAACGGACAGAGAACGGGAACCTACTTTGCGCACTCTCTCCATCGGCGTCCACGTAAACCCGATTTCGGAAGAATGGCTAGACTTTGATCAACCCCATAAATACTCTACGTTTCTCCATTTCACAGTCCATGCTGGGCTGACACTAACAATAAAGAAATGTATTGTTCCAAACTAACAGGAATCGTTGGGATAAGTCTACACATTTTATGGGTTTGCTAAGACTACACCAGTAAAACGAACAATGTTTTCTTTGCACGAAATAAGCTTAAATCTTTGTGTCGGAATGACTAGTGCATAGGCTATCCGTGAATGTACACTTTCAGTCAACCGGATGCTTTTCCTCCATCAAAGGACTTGAAATAGAAGACATTAGTCGATCGCATTTGCCTTGTTTCCCCTTTGTTTGACATATTTGTCCCTTCACCATAGGATGTCCATGTATTGTCTGTATGTCGATTGTGAAAAGTTCAGTAGCCTCGGTGGGATTCGAATCCCACCGAGGCTACTGAACTTTTCACAAGCGACATACAGACTTCAAATCTGCCAAACAGCTATTTGAACATGTATTGTCTGTTGAAGTTGGCGTTTAACTCAGCCTATGCAGATGTCACTATAGAAATGAACAGGTGAGATTTTGTGATTTTGTGTTAACTGATAACGGCTTTTTCATTAGAGAAAGGGTGTTTTTTGGCCTATGTTAAGTAAGACAGGTTTGGTCACGGTGTATGAGTATATAGATAACTGGGCGATATCAATGACCTTGAGTTCCGGATGCTAGAGAATTCGGGTGATTGAAAGAGCATTAGTGCATAGAGCGATTTTGATTGGCTCTTGGTAAATGGCGAACTACTCAGTACGTCTTGTAGTTACAAAACGAACCGTGTTTTGCAAACTGACCCTTTGAGAGTATATTCAGCAGACAAACCAGTTGAGATTTCACAAAGAATAAACTGGTATTCTACTATTGACTGGATCAACAATGTGACCCAATCACTCTCATTGTACATTCAGAGTACTTGCTTCACACATCAACAGTCGGTGTAATTCATATTGTTGAATTCGTTATAAGTAGAGTTTCTTCCACCTGAGCAAATATTTCACAGCTGAACGTTAGTAATGTGATTCCAACAAACCAGTATGATCGAAAGGCTTTTGTGTCCCACTGGATGTCATCATGTTCAGGGTATCTTTGGCGAAGAACAACTTTAGCATTTGCTAGTGTTTATCGCACATGCTGCTCGTATGCCACATAACGATCAATCGAAGAAACGATAGAAAAACTAGAGACTACACGTCATCTGGACTATTGGCCTAACGTCTCTGTGGATTTTGAATAAGAGAGGCCATAACAGTCAATCGGTAGACATTGGGTTATTGCTATTACCCTACGGAATGTTCGTCAGGTAACAACATTCAATTGGTATCACCGAATTCCGCATTAGGTATTCCTATGTTTGTCGATTTGCGCACATTATTGAATACCGAGGAATGTACCTAGTTGACTAAAGCTATCCGTATAGATGCTGATTAGGAAACATCTGCACTAGCTGACAGCTGGGATAAAGTGAACGATTCCGTTTGTTTCCCTCATTGGACACGAACACAAAATATTTATCAAAATCACTTTTGTATTTTGTGACATGCGCCATCCTTACTCCATGGGTTGTGGTTTGCAACGGAAAAAGGAACAACGCCTACCGCAACATTCCTCATTCTTCATGCAGCGTGATTATTCGGGTAGCAAACGATACANGCTTCCCGGTCTGTCCAAATCACACACCAGATCGTTGCAACAGCGATGAAACAGCGTCTTGTCACACCACTCACCGAACTGAGAACAAGCTGTCAAACATAAAATAGGATCGATAGTGGAAAAGATAATGTATTGGAAACCAGTTGAACAGTTATAGATATTGAAAAATATAAAATTATCGAACACCTTACAGCACAGCTTCTCAATAGATTCGAAATGCATAACTCTACAAGAACCTCCTGATTTCGGTTGAATTCAATGAACCAATTCGCATAACACGTTTTTTCAATAACTATAAATAGAGAAAAGTTTTCTCTTAGTTTGGGGCATAACTTGGTTCCAAACAATTCACTATGATAGAAGAAGCACGTGATCACCGAGTTTTTTCTTCCATCGTAAATAGTCTCTGTGTCATTTAATCGCCTCACTTCAATCTTTATTTGCCTCAGAATGTTTCTGAAAGGCTGAACGCAGTTCTGTTATGTGATGGACTCTACTCGCAAGAACGACAACTGTGAATGCTTCTATTGTAAGCTCAAGGACTTCCTAATCCAACTGCGCAACCGTGAAGTCTGAACACTAGAGGTTAACCATGGTTGACCTCTGAGCATTCGGTAATGTGAAATTGATATGATTATGTCAAACCGTAAGGCTCAAAACATAATACAAACCCTCTCCGATTTATCTGATGCCTGCCATTCTCATTTAAAACCAATTCCCATCGTATATCACGTTGTTGGACAAAAACGCTCATTGCAATTTTAAACGATTCTGATCATCATGCCAACAAATTGCTAATACGTAAATTTGTCGGGCAAAAGCATGAGCAAACAGATATATTTGTTCCCGTTTACACGAAATTCTTTGACATTTTAAGCTCAATAAAACCTGATGCGTACGAGATGCAATTCGCGAACAACTCACAATTAGGGTTGACTGTCAGTAGTTGCGGTATTACCAGCAGTTGAAGTATCAAAGTTATCATGGTAACAAGATCTAACTGAATTTCGTAGAGATTGCACTCATGTTATATAGCGTGCCTGTTTGGGAATTCTGTCCTATCGGTGTCAACGTTCAGATCAATTCTGTCTGTTCGGATCATTGTTTACCTTCGTTAGCATGTTCAGGTATTTATTCGACCGGACTGATTCAAATATCGAATTAGTTTAGATAAAACGTTGTTTTGCTTCACTCCCACGTTGTATTTGTGTTGCATTTGTGTTCAACAAGAGCATGCAGAGCTTGGACACTACTAACCATGTTATTCAAATTAGACAACAATGCATTTGGTTAAGTGCTGTTCTCTACTTGTAATGGTTCCTGTACCAAAATGAACAGCTGCACATAATGTTTGTTTGGAATGATGTCGAACTTTGCCAGCATCTTTCATTCAAATCAACCGATTATTATATAATACGAACAGTCACTTTTCACTGATACGCAAATCAAACATTGGTGTTGTCACCACGTTTACGTTTTCAACGTTACAAAATGAATCCCATTTGATGGATTTGGTTTTCAATTCCCGAAATTGATCCGAATATTGAAAACAGGCTAAAACTACAGACAGAACAAGTCCAGTAAACCCGTTGCGGTTCATCTAGGAGAGTTACGTAAAATTCCTGATTTCCAAGGAAGTTAGAATGAAAGTGTGAATCACAGCACTACTTTTCTGTTTCTGTAAGAGATCACTGGTATGCGATGTATTGGACCCGTTTGACGTTTGACTTTTTTCTAAAGGTGTATGATTCGATTAACTACAAAACTGTCCTTCAGTTATTTTTGGTTTTCACAATCTACCCCACTGTGAAACGTGTCAGGCGGTGGGTAGTCAAAGGCTTTGGGGAGAATCTCCGGTGAAAATTCATTTGGTTTCAGTCTTCAGAATTGAGTGCAGAGGGCAGGGTGCCCGTGTAAGCCCCATCGCCATTGCGTCGACGGTTCGATCACAAGTGTTCGCTCCTCCATAACCCCTTCAGGTGCTCATCCAG